CGCGGTCTATAATTTAAACTTTATTGTTGTCAACATTCGATAAAGAAATACCTCGTTACGGCCTATAGGCCGATAAAAATTTTTATGAGGCAAGTAATTAGTTCGATTTGTTCTCACTAGGGGTATTGTTTTGACAAATTAATCCTTTTTTAAGAAATTAAGTACTTGATACCTGAAAAAAAGCAACTTTCTAGATTTAGCAGAATAGGCACAGGAGCCAGGCAAAAATCACAAAAATTGGCAAATTATTACAAATCTTTAGTGGTTTACCATTCTTTTATGAGATGAACTAATCAGATAATAATAATTAATATTGAAAACATACTTTTTGGCACATTAAGTATAACGTATAAAGTATACCTAAAGTAACCATAACTTTCTTTTTGCAGGTATAAAAGCAAAAGATGTGACCGCAAAAGAACGCATGCGTCGATACAGACAAAAAATTAATGAAATTAAAGAACTTAAAGACCAGTTGTTGCAGAAAGATGCTGAACGGAAAAGGGAAGAACGAGCCGTAAAGAAAATAACAATGACGGGAGAACAAAAAAACATTGCAAAACGTAAACATAAGGAGCGAATGCGACAGTACAGAGAAAAAATTAAGCAACATATAAAGGAAAAAAACTAAAATGACAAAAACATTCTTTGGCCATACACTTGTAAACAGACACTTGGCAAAGCAATATAAACAATGTATTACCAAAAACAAAAAACGACCATTAAACATTTTGCCCATGATAAAATTCCGGACATTATTAAAGAAAAATAGATTTACTCTTAGTAATTTATGTTATTTGGAGACAGATTTTGACCTTCCATCACTAGAGTTGAATTTTTTTGCGACGTCACACGGGAAAGGAGCTGTAGATGCAATCGGTGGCAATGTCAAAAGAACGGTTTGGAGGGAGGTGAAGTCAAAAAATTTAAATCTTGTAAACGCCGCAGAGTTTTACGAATGTGTCCAAACACCACTTTTCCAAACATAGTAACAATATTTTGCAAACCGCTCAAACTGCCAAGTCTTCTTGTAAGCCCTTCATTGTTTAAAATGTTATTATAAGAATTTAATTTTAAGTTAGTTTTGTTCATTAATGTTAATGAAATGTTTTGTGTTGTTTCTACTGTTTGACGTAATAAAAATGTTGTCAAGAAAATGTGTAGCGTCCATTACGTAGCGTCCGTCCCAAGCAACAATTTAAGTATTTGTTACGTATATGGGACTATTGAAGAAACTTCAAAGTGTTTTGCGACAGTCGCCGGTCTCTTTATATTACTCTTTCATTACTACGTTACGACTAAAGTGGGGAACAATTATTGAGTTCCAAAAAGGTAGCAAATATGTCACTAGCTACCAACCCTGCTACTATTTGGGACGTAGCTGCTACGTTACTAGAACGTTCCAATATCGTTGCTAGAGCGTTATAATTACTTTTATTATTTGTTTTTACTTCTATATTAACTGTCTTTGTCAAACTTATATTAGATTATACTATCCCTCCTTTTTTAAATGGAACCACTACGGACTTGGCTTTTCAATGTCGTCGTTTATTAAATATGTACTGGTAGTTTATAACTTCCAGAATAACAATATAATATTTAATTAGACAGGTAGATTTATAAACCCTTTAAATTTTACTGTTGAACTTATGAATTTAGTTTTTGTAAAATAAATGCGCTTCATCAATATTTAAGTATAAACAAATTATTTATTTAGTAATGTTTATAAATAAAAAAATCTTAATATTTATTATTATTATTTTTATTTAATTAATAATACCGTCTATTACCAACAAAATTACTTTTTATTAAAAAGTAAACAACCATTTACAAACAATTAAAATAATTTATTATTTACATTACCACGTGGTACTGTACAGTAAAAAATGGCCGATAAGAAGCATTTTCCTTTGAAGTAGTTTTCGCTACTTTAAAGTTTTTTTCCACTTTACGGTTGTTTTGGTTAGTACCATAAACGTTTCAAATACTAAAATAATAACTTTTAAGTTATTAACTTTGTAGTTTTTAACTCATGTTCCAGTTTCGAGATTTTAACTTGCAAAGGGACTACAAAGTAAAAATAATTATAATGTAATCTTTAGGTAGCAACCGAAAGTAACTGCTACAAATTAAATTTACTTGAAAGTTTTTTTTACTTATAACATCTTTTTTAAAGTTGCAAAGTCTTCTTGGGGGCAACCAAGTTTTACTTAAATGTTTATTACTTTATAGTAACAATTTAAGGAAAAATTAAGTTTCTGTTACAAAATATTGCTATTTAAAAGTTAGAATTACTTTTAAGTAAAAATTAAAGTAGCTGTTTAGTATACTTAACTAATTTAAAGTTATCACCACTTTGGCAATGGTTTTTGGAACCAAAAATGCTGCTTGGGGTTACGCCAAATTTTCTTTAATTCCATATCTATAACTATCCACAAATAAAAGTTTTATATACACTCCATCTTATTATTATTGTATCTTTATATGGAGTCATTCCAAATAAAAACACCAAATGGGATGCGCTGCTTGATTTTTTATTTTGATAACCTAAATTGAGGATGATCTTTAAGGTATCAAATATGAAAATCCGTTGCCGTTTTAATTTTTGGATTCTTTAATTTTAATCGGCACCCTTTAGAAATCTGAAATCGTGTCAATTTCTTACTCTCTTATAGTGGGTCAGAACTTTTTTTCTGTGACAAATATTGAAATGATTTTAATTTTTTTTACTGTTCAGTAAGTGTGTTTTTGATATAAATTATTCTTATCCAATTAGTTAATCTCATAAAAGAATGGTAAACCACTAAAGATTCATGATAATTTGCCAATTTTTGTGATTTTTGTCTGGCTCCTGTGCCTATTCTACTAAATCAAGAAAGTTATTTTTTTTCAGGTATCAACAGAGCTGTGCGCCGCACAGTGTGCGGTACTCGAGTACAAGTACTCAAACACTGTACTCCAAGTACTTTCAGTGTACTCGGTACTCAGTCCCGAGTACTTTAATTTGAATGTATTTATACTTGTACTTGATACATTTAAGACGGCAAAAATGTACTCGAGTACTTTCCCGTGTACTTGAATACTTTTACGTGTCCTCGAGTACATCCAAAGTATGCAATGAGTACATTTTTATGCAGTGAGGTTGGCGTGGGTGTTGAAAATTTGGCAATACTGCTCAGACTTGTCAAATTACGGACATGCTGCCTGAGGCAGCATCAGCCAGCTTGACTCACACGACAGCCTTAAAACAGCCTCAATCAATAAATAAAAAGACACAAAAAAGAGCACTGAACAAAAGGTTTTTACTTATGTATGAAATGTAATTTTGTTTATATTTTGGTAGAAATAAGGTGACAATATTCCTCAAAAAGATAATTAAAAAATAAAGCTAAGGCAAAGTGAAACATGATACTAGCGGGCCTTGATAATTAATATAAAGCGAAATATCAATATTTGATGAAGGTATGCATGCATTGCAATAGGCCGGCTTGTGTTTAGTTTTGCACTAGTGATTCTAAATTCATTTCTTATTCGGTACTTTGTACTCGTATGGGTACTCGAGTACAACGGTACTGTACTTGTACTTGGTACTCGAGTACTTTTTCATTGTACTCGGAACAGCTCTGGGTATCAAGTACTTATACAATAGAAAACGTAACTATTATTTTAAATTTCTAGGCTATCATTTTCTTTATTTAAACAAATTATTGAAACTTGATAATTTTGCCCTCAGAAATCATTATGTTGAGGAAAAAATAAAAATCTGAAACTTTTAGGAAATGTAGTCCCCACCTTCATCTTTTCAGTCCAGTTAGTCTTGTTTTGTTATTTTTATACATGCATGTAAAAGACATAATAATTTTTTAAATGCAGTTAAGTATCGCTATTGTTAGTTTTATTTATAAGTTAAAATTTAGATGGCTTTGACTTAGTCAATTCATGTTTGGTAGAGAAATGTCAGAACTGTCAAAAATATTTCATAAATATCATTTATCTCCACGCGGTCTATAATTTAAACTTTATTGTTGTCAACATTCGATAAAGAAATACCCCGTTATGACCTATAGGCCGATAAAAAAATTTATGAGGCAAGTAATTAGTTCGATTTTTTCTCACTAGGGGTATTGTTTTGACAAATTTCCCCTTAAAAAGGAAACAAGGTCATCTATGTATATAAAAGATAGCGAATAAGCCATGGAAATAATATTATTATTTCTATATAGAGGAAATAATATAATTATTTCTATAAAATAAGCAGTATATGTTTTTCACTTGCATATGTGGCGTCCTCTAGAATTTACTACATATACTTCCACAGTATGTTATTCATAGAAATAATACTATATTATAGTATTATTTCTATGATGTTATTCATTACAGCTTGCTTTAATTTTCAATTCATAGATGTCACTAAACGATTTTTTTTACAATTAAATTTTTTACAATAGTACAAAACCTTTTAAAAACTATTACGGCATTAAATTATAATTAATGCATTGGTGCACTGTGCGATCCTAAAATTGTTTGCAAATTTCCCGCGTAAAATTAAAATTCATGCCCAATCGTGGCGTTTGGCGGCGCTCAATTCTTGCAAGTTGCAAAGCATAGAAAAAGTCAGAGACAAGGTCTCTGGAAAAAGTATTGCAAAGTAGACGAAGTCTTTAACCATGGAGCCATGCCTCTATGCTCCATGCCTTTAACCCTAAATTGTTTTGGTTTTTCTATGGTTTCGGCATTTAACCTTTATGATCTGTGAACAAGGCGTTTTTGTTTATGTTCTGTGTTTTTTTGTATTTGCATTTGTTTCTTCAAAAAAAAGTGTTGTGGTCTGAGTTTTTTCTTATTTTAAAGACACTGTCAAGGTAAAATATACGTTTAATTCGTTTTTTGAGGGTTTATAAAGGTTTTAAATTCTTTTTTAGAGTTTGGCAAAGTATTTTAAAGTTAATACAAACATTCTGTGTTCATTAAATATACCTAAGTAGTAATTTCCATACACAATGGAGCAAACAGTCATTAAAAAAGAATTGGAAGAAGTTGTCGACGATTCCGAAAGTAATATTTCGATGAATTACGATAAACCAAGTACCCCTGCTAACCATGAAATGCCTTCAACCTTTGGGATTGCAATAATACAAGAAATTAAAGAAGAATTTGATGATAACTCCATGTTATACCATAAATCAGGGATGAAAGAAGAATCAAAAATGCTTACAGATAAAGAAGACGATTTTGATGAAGCTGAGCAAGACATACTGAAATTTGAAGCCGAAGATGAAGTGTTGGACGACAAAGGGTAAGCCATAAAACAATATAACTAAAAGTTGCTAAAAGTTTATGTTCAAATATCAGCAACATAAATTTTACACTAGATTTGGGGAATCACTTAATGGCTACAGAACCTACTTGATCCTATTTTTAAAATAAACATTTATTGGTACATACAGGGTGTCTCAGAAGTAGCTCACCACCTTGAATGTGGATGATCTACAGACGACCAAGAATCCCAGAAAATTAGTAAAAATATCATACCTTCATTAATTAAAAAGATATTAGATTGTAAACATTCAAACTTAAAAATAATAGGTTATCTGTTGACATCACAACAGAGCTGTCTAGACAGTATTTTGTAAGCATTCTCCAAACACAGCATACATGGGTGAATATTTCAAAAGTGTAATTCAATCGGTTCTGGCTTGTTATTTCAAAAGTTAATATCCCACTGAAAATAAAATATTGATGTATAGTTTAATTAACTATTTTTACTTGATTCCTTACTTATTTTAGTCTAAACAAGCATAGTAAAAAATATATTTTAAATTTTGTGTCGCAAACGTCATTACCGTCCCTTGTTCACATTCGAAGAACAACATATTATTTTCTTTAATTTATTTACAAATTAAAACTTGCAATATCCCATCTAACACAGACAGAGAAAATCCAAAATAATACAATGCAAGCAAGAAATTGCATTTTTCTTTTAATTCCGTTTAAACTTTGTTCCCACCCATGAGCGTCATTGCCGTGGCTACTTAAAATGTGTCTAATTTCATATTTAAATACGCGATACATTCTGAAAATTCCGAAAGTTTCCGAACGTCTGATATATCATATACATATCATATGTAAATATCCTGCCTGTCTAACGCCCACTAGCATATGTCAAACGTGTCAAACGTGACGTGTGCCGAATAAAAACGAAAACGGCTTGTTACATCTAAATCGGTCATTGTCGGGGTAAGTATTATTTGAAAGTTTATGGACATAACAAATATTTACATTAATACAAATGAGTCTTGCATTAGCAAAAAGCATATGGTAACTTAAAAATTCCATTAAATTTTCGAATAAACATTGTAAAACTCTCTAACCTTAAAATCATCATTACCGTGCTCGTCATTGTCGTGTCCTTAAATGTACACGCAAATGACGACCTGTACACGACAATGACCTTTTTTGATTTAACCAATTTAAAATATTTTATTTTAGTGGAAAATTAATTAAAATGACCAAACCACGAAACAAGTTGACCAACGAAGAAAAGCTTGAAGCTAAAAGACAAGCAGAACGTGAGAGACGCAGAAGAATAAGAGACGACCCAGTAAAACAAAAAGAACAAAGCCGAAAAAATCATCAAAAATATATTAAACAAAAGGAAAAAAAGATAGTGAAGTCAATTTCTGAATTAAGTCCACGTGAGAAAAGAATGCAAAGAAAGAAATGGAAGAAAAATTCGAAGGAGTACCGCGAACGGAAGAAACAAGTTCATAGATACGAAGATAAAATTGCTGTCCGATCTCAAATGGACCGGTCTAATAGGCATGCCCATCTTACAAGAAGAATAAACGCTAACAAAACTAAACGCCATCTTAAAAAAAAACTTGCTGCTTAAAAAAATCGAAAAGTTAAAACAGAAAGTTCACAAATATAGAATGCGTTGTAGACGAATGAAGGAAAACAAAAGGCTGATAAAATAGATGCTGATGCAACACTGAATACGCGCATTACTCAATTACTCGAACTAAAGAGCAGTTGAAGACTTCATGTTTTTGTACACTCTCTGAATCATTACTACATAATTCATCACCTATATGAGCCCACCTTTCGCCGATATTAACTGAACTATGGAATCAGAAGGATAACATAACAACAGTTCATTTCCTAAGTGATTCCCCATCTACACAATACCGAAATAAGACAATGTTTTCGTTCATTCTCCATAATTTGAAGAACGAATTTCCGAAAATTGAGAATGTCAAGTGGAATTATCAAGAAGCTGGTCAAAGAAATTCCAGATGGTATTGGGGGTATCTGCAAGAGAACTGCAGATCGTGTTGAAAAAACTAACGGAGATTCTTTCGACAAACTGTCCTAGTGTTCAGTTTTTTAAAGAGCAGATTAGTCATTTTGCGGCGGCGCACAGTGGTCTGAGAGGTAAATTTACGCGGCAAAAATTATTTTTTAAATATTTTCCCAAGACGTGTGTTTTTTATGTTTTTAAGGGTGCTAAATTTACTTCTTATATACATTTTTTTCAAAAATATTTGGTATTGAGGTATTTTGTTTTTTTTTATGTTTTATATTTAATTATTTATTAAATAAATAAATGTTAATAGTTCGTACCAGGGGGCGATCGCCAATGTTGGCGATTGCAACATGGCGCAAGCATAATTTTTTATCATGAATAACCGAAAAACCATTACCTCCAAAGTATCAAAAATATATTATTATATCAACATTTTACATTTCACCATATTTCTTTTTAACAACCCTTTAGCCAATACAGTGATGGTTGACAGTAGGAAAACTTTTTATTTTTATTATGCGTTAAATACTCTTGCTTGTTTTAAAAATGAGATTCCTATAGAACAATAATTATTGTACTACCCTCTTAAAGCACTTTGCTGTCTTTTTTATTTTCTGAGCACCCTGGACATTTAATTAAAAATGTTTGTTAAGAATCTCATTTTTAAATACAAGCAGAAGTTTTTATGAAGAATGATTTTTTGCGATTCCGTTACGAATATCTTACCACATTTCTCTCTTATTTTGATATATATATATGTTTTAATTTCTGAGCACCCTGTATATATAATTCCTTTTTTATGAAAGTCTTAATTTTTAACCATCAAATATTTTCAAAAAGAATTCATTTTTCCACTAAACGCACTTCTAGTTTTTTGTTTTTTTTTTAGTTTCTGAGCACCCTGAACATTTAATTCAAAATGTTTGTGTAGGAATCTTATTTTTGAAACAAGCAAGAGTTTTAAATAACATGATTTTTTTCGTATCATACCTAATAAAAAAGTTTTTTTCTATTCTCATTACCATCCATGGGCACTGTATAATATACCTACAAAGTATATTAAAAAAATAATATTATGTAATAGGATTAAAGAAAATTGTATTACCATTCTTAAATGCAATAATTATTGTCAAATTTTAAAAATATATTACTTTTATGACCAGGTTAGCGGTAATTTGTCGGCCATTTTTCATTTTTGCATAACTCTCTTATAGGCGCATAAAGGCAGATGAATTTTTATAAAGTCGGAGCTGGAGGTTCATATTTTCGAATGCACTATGTGGTTCTGGGCAAGGTATTATAAATTTTTACTTATATTCCATTTATTATTTGTAATTACAAAACTTGAGAATTTGTAGGTTAAAAAACGTTATATTTTTGGCAAAAAATCCAAAAAAGACATTTTAAAGTTGTATTTGTACTCAACTTTATCCCTACTATAAATTTTTGACACTAATTTTCACTATCTACGCAACACCTTTTTACACGAAAAAGACAAGATTCCGAAAGTAAGAGTATTTTTGAAAATCTTTTCATGTATTTGTTATAACGCAACGCATACGCAGTAAATTCTACTTCGCAGTTTAAAATCTTACTAAGATTATCTTAGGTAATAATCTGTTAGGAACAATAAAGAGGCATCAAAATGCGTTTATAAAGTGTTTTAAAAATTGGATTTTTGCCGCGTAAATTTCCCTCTCAGATCACTGTGCGACGGTGGGAAAAAATCTCAAGACTTGGGGAACTATGAAGGTGCACCAGGTTGTTTATTCCACAAGTTGTAACAAACTGTGGCTTCGACAACTTTCTTGTTTCGAATGTATCGGTTTATAATAATAATCTGTATTTAGCAAGGAAGCTATCTCATACCTATACAAAAAATAACAATATAAATATAATATGTATACAAGATATGTACAGTATAACAATAAAAGTATAAATAATTTATATATATCTAATCACAGATTCTACGGAAGTGCTCAAGTAAATTTGTCTTAAAATGTTTAATATTAAAGCTTTCTTTTATTTTAGCTGGTAGTAAATTAAATTGTACCAATCCTTTATAAAATACAGTGTTTTTCATCTGAGTTGTTCTACAAATACCTATATTGAAATTATTACTACTTCTAAGTGTGTAACTGTTTCTGTCAGAAACCAATGACAGATTTTGGCACAAATACTGAGGTAGAATATTGTTTTTCATTTTATATATAAACATTAAAGTATTAAACAATATTCTATCACAAACTGGTAACAAATTTAGTACATTTAACATAGTTTTAATTGGAGTGTATCTATTACAATACAATACTGTTCTCATACATCGGTTTTGTATGCACTGGATTTCCCCAATTCTATATGCAGGTAAGTTAAAGAGAATTGTTGAACAAAAATCAATGTGTGGGGCAATTGTCGATTTATATAGAAGAAGTTTTGTTGACAAGGAGAGATTTTTACTAACACGTTTTAAAAAGAATGATTTTTTTGACATCTTATTCATAATATAAAGTGCATGTGTGTGAAAATTTAGATTTTCGTCAAGTTTAACTCCCAAGTACTTAATATCTTTTACCAAATCAATTTTTACATTGTTAATATGGACAGGTAACAAAGTTTGGTTACCAATTTTACTTACATTGCTCTTACTTCCAAATACAATACTTTTAGTTTTTGCTATATTAATACAAAGTTTATTATCACAGAGCCAAGTGTAGATATTACTTAAATCACAATTTATTTTGGTTATCATATCACAGATGTTATATCCTATTATATATAGCATTGTATCGTCTGCAAACAAACTTATTTCTGAGAATTTTACACAGTTTACTATATCATTTAAGAACAATGTAAATAAAATTGGTCCCAGCACAGTTCCCTGCGGAACCCCATGAGTAGTTTGAATTTTTTCCGATGTCACACCATTGAACTTTACTTTTTGATACCTATTGCTCAGGTAACTCTTGAACCACTTATGCACAGTTCCCCTTATCCCAATCTTTTCCAACTTTTTTAACAGTAAATCTCGATCAATCGTCTCAAAAGCGCGCTTAAAATCCAAAAATACAGCCAAGATTATCTTATTGTTGTCTATGCTGGTAATCCACTTATCACAAATTTGAATTATTACCGTTTCACACGAATGGCCCGTGCGAAAACCAGACTGGTTTGGAACAATCACCTTATTCATATCACAGAAATTTATTAGTTGATTTTTTACACACACTTCCAGGATTTTTTCATAAACAGGTACTACATTAATGGGTCTAAACTCTTCACAACATATAGTTTTGGAGATCTTTGGTACGGGTACTATAATTGATGTCTTCCAATTTTCTGGAAAAACTCCTGTTGACATTGAACTATTAATCACATCCAAAAACCAATTTCCAATTACTTCAAAAGCACATTTAATTATTCTTGTTGATATTCCATCATCACAGCCCCCTGTATTCTTCAGATTTTTGACTACTTCCTTAATGTCTCCCATAGTTACTTTATTAAATTTTCTTAAGTGTATCTCCTCAGTCATAATGTTATTTATGATAAAATCATGATTGTTGTAAGTGGGAATATTAGTAACAATATTATTAATACTTTGTATGAAAAATTTATTAAAATTTTCCGATATAATTTTTTTGTCAGTGGTTCTCATATTATTAAATACAATTTCCTCATTTTGTTGGCTTTCACATTTATTTGGTAATAAGGTCTTCAGGTTTTTCCACATTTCCCTAGGATTGTGTTTATTTTTGTCAATAGTATCTAGATAGTACTGATCATTTTCATATTGGAACACAGCAAACGGAAAAATATAGAATATTGGATGACGCCACGTTTGAAAACAGTTTTCTAAACCCTCGCCACGGTATAGAGTTGTATTCGTCAGTCGAGCGTTTCAATACTCTCCACAGTATAGAGGTCGTAATTTCACTTTTGAACTAGTGTAAATATGAAAATTATTTTATGCTTGAAAAAAAAACTATATACATACGACATGATTGTAAGTTTTTTCATTTTATTTATTAATTAAGCTGTGTTGAATATTTTTCCTAAAGGAGTAATTGGCAATGGGCCATTAATTCATTTTTTCGTAGAAGCTACAATAATCAGCACTGGTGTGTACTTTTTGATCAACCAGATTTAAATATTGCTGAACTAACATAAAACTACCAGTGGAGATGTGCAGGGTCTACCAACAGACCTCATAAATAAATTATTAAAGTTTAATAGCTTATCGATCTTTTTTTCAACATAACCTCTGAAATTTTTATTTTATATTTTATATAATACATAAATATACTTAACACCATATCATTTGTGCTTTAAATACCTTAGTTGTAACGGTAAATAAAAATCAGACAAAGGAACCAAAGAAAGGAACTATTTTCAACAAAATCATATGCAGAAATGAGAATATTCAAACTGCTTGCATCCATCAAAAGATCAAAACTTCTTGCACTATTGAATTACACCCTTTTTTATACTCTCAGAAATATTGACTAGAACAGTATTAAAGAGACTCCCGTTTCTATAACTTGGTAGAGTAAAGAGAAGTCGAAATCGTTGCGATATTGCATTGCGCTGTTTTTGTATAATTCTCGGGGACATTAACGAAAATCATTGCCAGTAACATTCGAAAAGCTTGAGTTTCTATGTCTCTGAGGAGAATAGGAATCCGAAGTTGCTGCACCATTGGACTGAACCCTTTTTTAATAATTTCTAGAGACATAAATGACTGTACCATTCGACAGGGTCGAGTTTCTACCTCTTTGTTGAATATAGAAAATCAAAATAATGTATCTTGACATTGAGTTTGACTTTAACTATAGTCGCGCATAGGTATAGAGGCGAAAAATATAAAAACAAAGCACCATTTAATACAGTTCTGATAAAACTTTAAGATTTAGTATTCAAACGGGGAGTCATCCTATACATTTCTATATTTTTCCGTTTGCTGTGAATCATGGAAATTGTTAAAACAAAAAAATCCAAAAGTCAACTTAAAAGCAGTGGGATAAAGGTTGGAAGAGTAAGTTACACTGATGTTTACAGCGACTCAAATGAATCATCTGAAGGCACAAGGGAGTCAGTTGAAGGCACAGTTGATTCCAGAAGGATACTTATTTTTAATTTTAAAACAAAAAAAATATTTAGTTTTTTCCGCTATTCCTATTATGATTATTAAAAGCCAAAAGACTGGTACCTCTTTTATATTCTTAATTTAAATATACGTTTTGTAGCAAATTTAGAAGTTTTCTTTTATTCGTCATTTGCGTGACAACTTTCATCATTACCGTGGGTTCAACTTTCTGAAAAAGACAAAAAATTAACGTTTTTAGCCTTCATGGTTATGTTTATGAGTGCAAAATTTATAAGATTTGTAATTTTTTTGTGTGTTAACGAATAGGGTTCCGAAAATCGACAGTTTTAAAATATTCACCCCGTCCATTCGGCCTGCGAAAAACTGCCGTCCACACGGCAAAACAAGTGAAAATAGTGCCGTCCTGAAAGGTTTAAGAATAAATGTACCAATTAATTAGTAGGTATGCAATGTTCCTTTTAAAAAAATATGTATCCCCTGAATATTTTAAATAACTAAGGTAGATTTTTTAATAATTTTCTGGGATTCTTGAGGGTCCGTAGATCATTCACCTTCAAGGTGTATTGTTACGAACGCGTAGAAGGGCCAACAACAGATTTTTTTTTTAATACAATTTTTAATCGACAATTGTCTTTCGGATAGACAATTGTATATATATGTTATGGCTAGCCAAACTGTCAGCTATTTTAATTGAAAATGTATTTTCAACTAAATTAGCGGCTAGTTTACAAAATAACCAAGGATCTTGGCTAATTTACTTGAAATTATTAGGGAAACTAAAATAGCTGGATAGTTTGTATACTATCCAATTCAGTTTGGCTAATATGAAAACCAAAATTTCTAGTAACACAAAATAGCCAAGCTTTAGCTAGTTTGTAAACTAACCAACCAATTCTCTGGCAACACTTTATTTTGAATTATTTCAAATAGGGAGCCCAGGAGGCGGGTGAGGCTATACGAAAAACTAACTTTTTTTCGCAAACTTCAATTTAAATTCTGTTTGCGCCAAACTTGTCTATTTAATGTCATTATAAAATATTATAAATTTGGTGTGGGTCTAATAACTGAGATATTGATATATCCCTCGGTATACCCAAAATCCACCAGCCGCCACTGTACTAAACCCGATATGCCTTATATATCCAGGGCCTACGTGACCTACTGCAGGCAAGCACCTTCCCGAACATTCCAGTACGTTCCACATCGCTCTCAATCGTTCGGGAATCCCCCGCCATAAACTCAACGCTGCGGCGTTAAGTGCGAAGAGATGAAAATTTAGTTGATTTGCATACTATACATAATAATTTTTAATCAAATACATTTTTATCTCATCGCATTTTTTATTTTTTAAATTAAAAATAAGGGTTTAAATGAATCAGAGCTGGGAGAGTTACTTCTGAAAAGTATCTAGTTACTTTTCTAAGATACTTTAAACAAAATAACTTAGTTACCTCTGGTAACTAGATACTTTGAGTTAAAAGTATCTTTAGTTACAAGATACTTAAAAAAGTATCTAAGATACTATATGAAAGTATCTAAGATACTTTTGAGTTGTAGTAAGTACGAATAAAAACTATAAAATTATGAAGTTGTAGGTTAGGTAATTACTTTGAATTATTCTGGAATTCCCCCAATTTTATCTAAGAAAGTATCTAAGTTACACTGAAAAGTATCTAAGTTACTTGAATGCATCTTAGCTACTTTACCGAGTAACTTATATACTTTTTTAGATACAAATTACAAGATACTTTTCCAAAGTAACTTAGTTAAAGATACTTTCTGTCCAATATAAAAAGTATCCAAGATAAAGTGTCTTAGATACTTTAAGTATCTAAGTTACTTCCAACTTGGAAAAAAAAAAGATACTTGGAAGTTCCAAGTATCTTTTTTTTTTAAGATTAAGATACTTCCAGCTCTGAAATAAATAGCATAAATTAACACAAATAACATACATGCAATTGCAATTAATTAAATAACACACCATTCTGAAATCGTCAAATCATAAAGAAATTTGTTACAATATAATTATCAGTACCACTAAAACACTAATTAATGTATTTCGAAACTTTAACCCACCTCACTGTATCCCCTAATTGCACTTCGCACACTCGTTAAATAGGTATAAGGAATCCGAATAACAATATATTATAATAACAGATTCTTGTTAATATACAAAAAAAAATTATAAACATTCTGGACAGTTGTTACGAACACGTTACGAATAAGAATAAAGTAAGCAGAAACATAAGTTGCAGACGCTAAAGTCAGTTAATGCGTATTTAATTAAATATAAATTATATATTGTAAAGATTTCTCCTTACACCAGGTTCACACCAAGTTTTATGAAAAATTAATAAATGAGCTATTTTGTGACTATGGCTCGTGATCGTCTTACCAAAATTTGGACCTCTACGTTGTGTTTACCTACTTGTTTTATTAAATACATTGCTTTATACAAAAAAATTAAATACAGTGTTTAGTTTACCATAATTTAATTTATTTTACAAACAGTTTAAAAAAAAAAACAAGGGGTGGCTCTTAGGGAGATACGACCAGGGAAAAAGAGCTTGAGAAAAAACCCTGTTCGGCTATGAAGTAGCAAAAGATTACACGATTAGGCATTGTTTCTTTAAAAGTTTATACAAATCAATCGAATGACACGACGCTCGTTACGCTATCTACCCCCTACAGGTTCAAAAATAGGAAAACGTTGTTAGTTTAATAGGGTAGTTAACTGTTAGTTCCAATGTTAACGTTGCCCTGTGGAGAACGAGGTCCACACTAGAAGCAACTCGCGTAAAGATGAAGGTTCGGGATAAAAGTTGCGATGCCACCTAGAGAACCTAGGTGACCAGTTATCCTTCTCGAAGGGGAGCATTTTAGTATCTACTGCAAACTACGTGCTAAAGAAAAAGGAGCATTCAAAGTTTAAAATTAACGGTCAATACTCCCTTTTAAGCAACGAAATGTCCTGTATTACACTGATATTTGTTTTAAAATTACCACAAAAAAATGCATCATCGTGTTGGGGAAGGTCTAAACATTTGAGTTACAGGGACAGTGTACAACTAAATTAAGCCTTAGACAATAAAAGAAAGGCATATAAATTTTTACATTTAACAGTAAACTTAAATGGCAAAAACATTTTATAAAAATAGCTAAAACAAAAGTTGTTAATATCGGGTAAAATTCACTAAACGTAGTAGCGCAAAATAACTAATGATCAGTTTATTTAAATCCAAGTCGTTCTACGTTTAGTGGACTTTACTACATAATTGGGCTACTAAAATTAAGAACTAATCTGGGAGAATACACAAACACTTGTAACAATTATTTAAACAGAACTTTACAATAAATTTCGTTTTAGTAAAAATGTATAATATAATTTTCAAACGCTTTTTGCCTGGTTTTTTCTTCTCTTTACTCGCTTCGTGTACCTGGACCATCGCTTCTTGCCTCATCTGGACACCAAGTTCGAAAATCTTGTAATTTCTTTAACTAAATATCCCTTCTTACCTCTTTTGCAAAGATTTTTACATTTTACAACACAATTTAGAAATTCCAAACTTATTCAAAAATAAATTTGTAAAACGTATTAAAGTACTGAACCATTACAATATTAATGAAATAATTTGTTAAACATTAACAAAATAATTTGTAACCTTTAAAATTAACAAAATGCGTCAAAATTGCATTATTTCCTTTACAAAACTGTCGGTAAAATATTTTACTTTATTAAAATAATTAACAATCTCATTTTTATAACAGTGTAATGATCTGCAACTTGGATACTAACAAGTATGAGTATCGAAATGTATAGTAGTAGTATCTATTGGATAGATACTTTTTGTGGGGGTTTGTTTTGTTTGATTGTTTGTGTTGTTTTTTTAAGGTTTGACTCAGGAAGAAAAATGGAAAATAATATCAGGGTAGATATTAGTAATAATTCTGATATGGTAGATTTGTTATTAAGGCATAAATTTCACACAATGACCCATGAGGACAGGTTAAGTATAAAACAAATTGCCATCCCTCGACCTTCCATGGGAAATTTAATACAATCGAAATCGGGTCATAATAGGTCGTTTGTAAACACATGGTACGACAAAGCTGTTTGGATTACCGGAAGTGAAACGCGAAACAAACTTTTTTGTTGGTATTGCCTATTGTTTTCGGAAAAATCAGGTCCCTGGACCACGGTTGGATATCATAATCTAAAAGATCTCTCTCGAGCTACACTGAAGCACGAAAACTCAAAAGAACACACCTATTCGGCCTTGAAATTTAAATTATTTGAAAACAAAGTATTGCTAATTTGCCAGGCGGTTCGCGTGAATCCATAGCAAAACATAACGAGACAGTTCGCGAAAATAGATTAATGATTAAACATTTGATTAATATGATATTATATTTATCGATACAAGAGCAAGAAAGTTCGTACAATCAAGAAAATTTCAAGGAACTTGCCAAATTTGCAGCCGCTTTAGATCCGAATTTTAATCAATTTGTAGATCCATCGAAATCGACAGTTTTTACGGGGTTGTGTGAAACTATTCAAAGTGAACTAATTGCTTCAATCGTGAAAATAGTTACGAACAAAATCAACGAGGAAGCCGATAAAACGGAGTTTTTTTCATGGCAGGTCGATGAAACCACAGACGTCAGATGCTCCTCTCAAATGTCCGTCACTTTTCGATTTGTTCACGAGGGAAAGGTTATCGAGCGTTTAATGGGATTTTTTGACGCACACGGCCCTAAAGCGGAAGACATTTTTAACGTGCTCGTTCAAAATTTAAACCGTTTTAATTTAAAGCAAAAACTAATTGGACAAACCTATGACGGGGCCTCTGTTGTGGCAGCGGAACTGAATGGTTTGCAGTCCAAAATAAAATCGGTGGCCCCTCAAGCCTTGTTCACCCATTGTTATGCCCATAAATTAAGTTCGGTTTTGCAGGATGCATCGAAGAGTTTAAGGCCGTGCAGGATATTTTTTTCGAATGTCGGCGGATTTTCTCATTTTTTTTCCAAATCAACGAAACGAACCGATCTTTTAGACACAATTTGTAAAAAGACTGAAACCCGCTGGAATTTTAAATCTCGCATTGTTCATACTTTATTCGATAACAGAACTAGTTTACTTGAAGTTTTTGAAAATATTTTCGACGAAACAGACCAGTGGGATGATATCACTATCCGCGAAGCACAAGCACTCAAGCATATTTTATACGAGTATGACTTTGTTTTTTTGCTTTTTACTTTTAATTTAATTTTCACCCAAACAGTTTTTTCTATAATTCAACATAGAATCTCAGACGTCAATTATTGCAATGAAAAAATTCAAACACTTTTGGTAACTTTAAGAAAATTTAAAAACGAAAAAGAATATTTTCAAAAAATATTATCAGATATTGCAGGGATAACAGAAATTTTACCCCCTACTATTAGGCGGCGAAAGAGGGGTGATATCCCAGGTGCAGATTCTTATAAACAATTGTTTCATGATATTTTGGATTTAATAATTAATCAAATCGAACTTCGCTTCAGTAACCTATCACTTTTAAAGTTCTTCGATCTTTTAACAGTTTCGAAATTCGATTCTTTTCGCAGAAAATTTCCTCACGAATTGCTCGACTTCTTAATTCACAGCTATCCAATTTTCAACAAGGAAAAATTGCAGAAAGAACTTGAAGTGTTTTATTCAAATCCTGATATTTTCGGCAGTTCTTCACACGTCACTGATATAACTGAATTTATTTATAAAAACGAATTAAGGGACGACGTTCCTGAAATTTATAAATTTTTGTGTCTCGTGCTTTCTATTCCAGCTACATCCGCCTCCGTGGAAGGAAGTTTATCAGCGTTAAAAAAAATAAAATCTATGGGACAATCGCGTTTAAATAATCTGTCTATCCTTGCAATAGAACGCTCGCTTGTGAAGGATTTGTCCAAAACCGATATTTTTTATGAAAACGTTATTGACGACTTTTCACTCTCGAAAAATATAAAAATAGATTTAATTTACAAGACTGAATAGTTAATACCTAATTTTTTTGTACATGCAGTGTGACACATTTGTTTGCGACTCCCCTGTAAAATCTTTATTTTAACCGGATTTGTTTTAAAGTGTAGATCTTGATAAACTATATTTTTTCAGCAAAAAATACCTTAGTTTTTAGAAAATACAAGGCCTACTATGTCAGTTTTTGAGAGTAATTTTTATGACTTCATATTAGTATTTAAAAAAAATCTAAGCACGGCACTGGATTCACCACCCCTCAAACGACCCTATCTGCTAAAGAAGTATCGGGTTTTCGCAACGCGCGCGCCATCTGGTGGGCTTCGATAGCATTGCGTGAATTTAGATTATACATCATTTTTAAATAAATAGGTAGTTTTTTCACAAAAGAAGGGAAGGCAGAAGTCTTACTCCACAAATTTTGTTCAATTGCACAGCTAAATCTAAAATTTCAATCGTGAAAATAGTTACGAACAAAATCAACGAGGAAGTTGATAAAACGGAGTTTTTTTTCATGGCAGGTCGATGAAATCACAGACATCAGATACTCTTCTCAAATGTCCGTCACTTTTCGATTTGTTCACGAGGGAAAGGTTATCGAGCGTTTAATGAGATTTTTTGACGCACACGGCCCTAAAGCGGAAGACATTTTTAACGTGCTCGTTCAAAATTTCAACCCTTTTAATTTAAAGCAAAAACTAATTGGACAAACCTATGACGGGGCCTCTGTTATGGCAGAGGAACTGAATGGTCTGCAGTCTAAAATAAAATCGGTGGCCCCGCAAGCCTTCTTCACCCATTGTCATGCCCATAAATTAAGTTCGGTTTTGCAGGATGCATTGAAGAGTTTAAGGCAGTGCAGGATATTTTTTTCGAATGTCGGCGGATTTTCTAATTTTTTTTCCAAATCAACGAAACGAACCGATCTTTTAGACGCAATTTGTAAAAAGACTGAAACCCGCTGGAATTTTAAATCTCGCATTGTTCATACTTTATTCGATCACAGAACTAGTTTACTTGAAGTTTTTGAAAATATTATCGACGAAACAGACCAGTGGGATGATATCACTATCCGCGAAGCACAAGGACTCAAGCATATTTTAAACGAGTATGACTTTGTTTTTTTGCTTTATACTTTTAATTTAATTTTCACCCAAACAGTTTTTTCTATAATTCAACATAGAATCTCAGACGTCAATTATTGCAATGAAAAAATTCAAACACTTTTGGTAACTTTAAAAAAATTTAAAAACGAAAAAGAATATTTTCAAAAAATATTATCAGATATTGCAGGGATAACAGAAATTTTACCCCCTACTATTAGGCGGCGAAAGAGGGGTGATATCCCAGGAGCAGATTCTTATAAACAATTGTTTCATGAAATTTTGGATTTAATAATTAATCAAATCGAACTTCGCTTCAGTAACCTATCACTTTTAAAGTTCTTCGATCTTTTAACAGTTTCGAAATTCGATTCTTTTCGCAGAAAATTTCCTCACGAACTGCTCGACTCCTTAATTCACAGCTATCCAATTTTCAACAAGGAAAAATTGCAGAAAGAACTTGAAGTGTTTTATTCAAACCCTGATATTTTCGGCAGTTCTTCACACGTCACTGATATAACTGAATTTATTTATAAAAACGAATTAAGGGACGACGTTCCTGAAATTTATAAATTTTTGTGTCTCGTGCTTTCTATTCCAGCTACATCCGCCTCCGTGGAAGGAAGTTTATCCGCGTTAAAAAAAATAAAATCTATGGGACAATCGCGTTTAAATAATCTGTCTATCCTTGCAATAGAACGCTCGCTTGTGAAGGATTTGTCCAAAACCGATATTTTTTATGAAAACGTTATTGACGACTTTTCCCTCTCGAAAAATATAAAAATAGATTTAATTTACAAGACTGAATAGTTAATACTTTATTTTTCTGTACATACAGTGTGACCCATTTGTTTGCGACTCACCCCTGTAAAATCTTTATTTTAACCGGATTTGTTTTAAAGTGTAGATCGGTTTTCATTAAAAAACACCATATTTTACAAAATACAAGGCCTACTATGTCAGTTTTTGATTGTAATTTTTTAAGAATTCATATTTAAAAAAAATCATGGACGGCACGGGATTCACCACCCCTCAAAACGACCCTATACTAAATTTTATTGATAAATTTTAAGTAGGAACGATTTTATAGCTAAATTAAGAATGCACATTAATTACTATTTACAAAAATTTATTCTGTCAAGTTATCCATTAAAAAAACATTGAAATAAAATAAAACTAATTGAAACATGGTATTAATAAAAAACGCAATAGAAACTTAAATCAACAATGAAACAAAAAATAGAGAATTCCAAAAATTCTCTAAAATTAGATTTTCGTTACCTCTACTAATCCACCATTTATGTCAAGACACTTTCATATTTTTCTGGAGTAATTGTATACTCTAGCCCTTAGTTCTTGTACAATTTATCAAGATCTACACTTTAAAACAAATCCGGTTAAAATCGCACAATAAATATAAATTTACATGGGTGAGTCGTAAACAAATGTGCAAAAGTGCATAATATTTTTAATAAAAATCAAATTAAAAAAAGTTTCACTGAAAGTCTAAAAAATCACTTCTCAGAACAGCACCGTAATATTATAAAATTATAATGGATGGACTTTAATCGCATATTGTAAAAAAGCGGTCATTAATATAGATAAGTGGGTATATCTCAGATAACTTGTGCATGTCGAATATCGAATATCAAAAAATCCTATATTCATTAAATAAGTTAAATTTGTGGTCATATCAAAGTATGGGTCCTATTAGATCTAAGGCTACGACCAGCAGTACATAATTTTGATTTTTTAAAGTATTTTCTAATTAAAGATTAAGTCACATAAGTTACAAGAGAATATAATTTCTTTAGGCGAGGAATATATGTAGTTTTTTTATTAAAACCGCTATTATCTAATATCTACAATACGAATTCCCAAAATATGCCTAGTTGATTAGTTATAACGCAAAAAAACAACTGAATTTGAGAAAAACGAATTTAGTAACGCAAAGTGATATAAAGGTAACTTATGTGACTTAAGTAAACTAATTAGTAATATTAAATGTAACTCAAGCATAAAAAGAAAATAACAGTATTTATGCCCATTGCAACATAATCTTTGTAATTCGTCGATTCTGCGCTCTTTCTCTCATTTTCCTCAAATATTCCTCTCTTTTTTTAGGATCTGCGTTAATTCGCTCTCTATATCTTCTTTGTTTCTCAGCTGAAGTTAGACCCATGTTTTACCTGTTTAAAATTATAACACAAAACGTCAGATGAGCTAAACAATTACTTTTTGTCACATA